AATTTCCCCTTGTTTTTGCCCAGAAATGTCTGGCTTGGTCTTCACCCCCAGCCCCCTTCTCTTCCTCCCTGCCTGCCAGCCTTTCTGCTTTCAGCATTGGAACATTCCAGTCAGATCTCGCTCTGTGGTGGTGAGGGGAGCCAGCAGGAGAGAGGACTCTGGGAAGACATGGCACAGGACTCTGGCACTGTCCCCGATTCGTGAGTGTCAGGGGTGCACCTGCCCCGGGGGCCTCGGCTCCCCAGCCCAAACACTGAAGGAAATGGGGAGGAGTACCCGAGAGCCTCTTGGATGTTCACTCTCCCTTCCTGAGTGTGAGCCCCCGCCCTCACTCTCGATTCCTCCCTTCTAGACTGCTCCAAGAGCTAGTCTGAGGCTGTGACATGGGGAGTCTGGGAGGGCAAAGTAGGAGGCAGGCTGAGAGGGGCCCGAGGGGTGTGTGCACCCGTGTGTGCACAGGGCTCACTGTCCATTGGGATAAGGACTCTACCTTGTGCCACCTCTGTGGTCTTGCCTGAACCACTCCCTCCAGGGCCCTATGGAAGCTCCTTCAGGGCCCCAGTGCTCCACAGGCTCCCCCAGTTTGGGCCTGGGTTACCTAGAAAGGCACAGGAGGGTGGGGGACAGGCAAGGAAGGGTCAGGAGACTCCCCAGTGTCTGGCTCAAAGGCATGGGGGCAGGCGCCAATGGAGGCAGGACTAGTTGGTTAGGGGAAGCCAACGGGGTCAGTTTTGGATGCAGCGGCTTTGAGGTCCCGTGACCCCAGCATCTTGCAGACAGCCCCCCCCCCCCCGCCCGGAGCTAGGGGAAGGCCCAAGGCCACCTTCCATGAAAGGCATCTGTGGAAACGCTGAGAGTTGTGGGGGCTGCAGGTGAATGATGATTGAGTGGCCCCCTACCCTCGAGCAGCCCAGACTCGAGGGCCCACTCAGGCACTTCATGAAGGACGGAGGGTGGGAGCCAGAGCTGGGGCTGCAGGTGCTCTGGGGAGCACAGATGGGCTAGCCATGCTGCCCTGGGGCAACCAGGAAGGCTGCAGAGGGGAGGTGGCAGCAGACTGGGGTCCACAGGGAGGGCCAAAGTTCATGCACAAAGGCGGATGCTGGGTTCAGAGTCAGCAAGTAGCCCAGAGAAGCCCAGGATCTGGCTCTGTTTGGCTTAGTGAGGCAGAATCCCTCCTCTGGCCTGTGACCCGCGCGCCCCAACTTCTGTCCTCTGGGCACAGGTCTCTCATTGAGTCTGCTCAGGGCTAAGGCAGAGCACCCAAGTGGAGGGTGTGGGCCCCTTCACTGATGGAGCCTGGGTGCAGAGAGAGGCAGGGAGACAGTTGGCAAGCACTGAGGAGGGAGGCTTCGGGCAGCCCAGAGCCTGCTGGCGCCAGGTGTGAAAAGCCTCAGACTCGGAGGTGGCCTCTCGCCGGCCCACAGGCCTGGGGAGGGTTACTTCCTGCAGGCCTGGGTCAGAGGCAGGCTAGCGGAAGTGGTTGCCTTGTTTGTGAGAGTGGCCTGAGAACCCCAGGATCCTGGCTGAGAACTGGGTCAGCCTTGCAGTCACTCCCCACCTGCCTGGTAGCAGAGCCTGGCGGGGGCCCTGACTTCCCCTGCAGCCTCTTCCTGGCTGAGTCCCCAAGAACAGGCTGGGGCTGGGCAGAGGCCAGGCCAGCTGACATCCTCTGAGGCCAACCTGGATGATGGCCCCCTGCAAACAGGTCTGACATCACGTCTCCAGAAAGCTCTGCCTGGGAGGGGGGAATGGACGCTTCCTGTCCCTGCTGACAGGGCAGCACTCAGTGTCTGGGGGACGGGGCTGCTCCCCAACCCTCCAGAAAGAGGCCAGGCCCACCAGTTCTCATCCAGCACCTTGACTGGAGGCTCTAGAGGTGAGGCTCAATGGCCATTTCATTATTATCCCTTCTGCCCCCAGGTCCCCAACCTCATTTCTTACTTGATTCATTTATTCAATCCACACATGTTCAGTGTCACGGGCAGGAGGGGATAGTGAACAAAAGACCCAGAGTCCCAGTCCTGGTGGAGACCACTGTCCTCTCTGATAAAGTCGTGCCTTCCTGGGGCTCAACTAAACATCACCTTCTCCAGGAAGCCCTCCCTGAGCACACAACTATTCTGGGAGCTCTGGCCACTGGCTTTGTCTATCCCTCTCTCAGGACTCAGGCCACATCCCCTTCAGACTCAGGATGGCCTTGTGTAACCCGGCTCTGCCTTCCTGAGGCCGGCGGCCAGATGGGTCTCAGTACGGGGCAGCCAGGTTCAGCATCAGCATCAGTGACCTGCAGAGGCGTCCCTCAGTATTCGAGTCCTGTAGGACCACTGCAGCCCTGCCCAGGGGTAGGTCAAACTCTCAAGGGAGGCCTCTTTGCCCTGAGGTCACCCTGAGACTTCACTTTCCACCTGGAGCGACCTCCATCAGGGCTGATGCCACAGGGGCGCTTCAGGCAATGCTGAGGTGGTGGGTGCCCCTCAAATGCATAGGCCCGGTCCTCGGACCCTCTCCCAGCCCATCTCCATCTCCATCTCCATCTCCCAGGAGGAGGGGCAGGGCAGGGCAGGCCCCTCCCAGGGCTGAAGGATCAGCCTCTGGCAGGAACACGGAGTCCAGGCACGGCTGGGAGGAAGGATTCCTGGGCTGTGGAAGGGAGCACTTGGCTGGCAGGACAGTGGGTTCCCGGTCCTTGCCAGGCCCTGTAAGCAAAGCCCCAGGAGAGAGCGAGGGCTGGGACATAGGCCCAGCAGACCCAGCCCTGCGGCCAGACCTCAAGCTTCGTTATGGGAAGAGGGAACATCGCAAAGAGGAGAAGCATTGATTGAGCCCTGAGAACTCCTGACCTCCTCCATGCGAGGGGGGCGGTGTGGTGGCCAAGGGCCAGGGTCCGCTATGTGGCCTCTACTAGGGGCAGCTCCAGAGCTTCGCAGGACTCCACCTGCTGGGGAAGTAGGTGAGAGAAAGCAGAACCCCCTGGCAGCCTGGCGGGCAGCCAGCCCCTTCTTGGAACAGCCTGGGGCGCGGCTGGAGGCAGGGCTTGGCCTGACCCATGACCCAAGGCAGGCTGACGAGGCTGTCTCTAAAGGGGACCAGACCTAAAGGAGTCAGAGATGGGGTCTCCTGAGGCAGCACCTTCCCTTCTCGGGCCCACATCTTTTCTGGGAGGTCTCGCTTCCTCCCAACACATTCCCCTCTGGGCTTCAGTGGCCGGGGCGCTGACCATCACCGACCCCCCACACTGGCCCAGGGCAAATGCTCTGCCGGAGGCATTTATCTTGCTTCCTGGTGCACCATCTGCTGTCAGTCAGAACAGGGGAGGGGCCAGCCCTTTAGGAGGAGGTGGGGACAGCCACAGCTTGCCGTCCACCCCCCACCACCGCAGGCAGATGCGGCTTTAGTGGAGCCTGGTTCCCCTCTCAGGGATCCTAGGAGTCTGGGGTGGCTGTCAGGTGGCTCTCTCTGCCTCAGCCATCTGCACACAGCTACCAGGCAAGCTCTGGAAAGCAAAGAGCAGACTTGCTGCCCTGTGGGAGGTTCTAGTGGCTCCTGGCTCATCTGAGCCGGCCCCACCACCCGTCTGGCCTCAGTCCAGCCACGCTGCTCCAGAACACCTCCTCTCCTCAGGGCCTTGGCACCTGCCATTCCCTCTGTCTGGAGCGCCACCTCTCTAGCTGGCATTGCTCTCTTTCTCACCATATGCGGGGAGCTCACCCCTGCGGAGTGCTGCCGTCCACCTGCCCACCACGTCATGCCTCAGTCCCCGCCCCCGTCACAGCACACCAGGACTGACACCACCTGCCCCAGCCTGGCTCCTCGGCCAGAGGAGACACCTTAAGAGTGGGGACCTTGTGTGTCTCACCCACGGCTGTGTCCCCAGCACGTGGCATGGCACACAGCAATGTGTCTGCATGAATGAAGGCCCCCCAAAGCTTGCGGCCACTCAAGCCCTGAGTCCTTGCAGGCCCTATAGGTGGGGGTACTAGGGGAGCAGGCCTAAGGGTCCCGGGCTAAGGGTTGAGCCAGAAGCTGCCCAGCCCTGGTGAGGAGGGCATGGCTCTCAGCCACCTGCCCTGCACGCTGTAGGCAGTCCTCCTTCCTGTCCACATGAAAGCTGCCCGGTGCTTCTACTCCCCCTTCACCAGGAAAGGGAGGCTCCAGGAGAGCGGGGCTGTGACCAGGAGGCCAGTGGTTGGAGCTGGGCACTCCCTGCCCCAGCCCCGGCCCTGGGGTGAAGGGATGGGGCTACCTGGCCTGGCTGTGAGAGGGTATCTGATCCGTCTTCAGGAAGTTGCCCCTCATCCCATGACCTGTCCTGCCCTGAGCCCTCTGCTCAGGCAGAACCAGCCTAGACCAGTTTGTGTGGCTCAGGGAGGCCAAGGGCTTGAAAACCAACAAGTTGTTCTTGGAAGCACCTCTGACCCTCCCTGCCAGCCTCCCTCTGCCCATGCAGGAAGGCGACAGGCAGGCCCGGGGCCTGGCACTTTACCTCTTCTACCCTCCCTCACAGGGGTGGCTCCCTGTCAACAGCTGGCTGGAGCCTGGCTGTCCCTGGAAGCCAGCGACCAGCTGAATCGGATGTGGTACTCTAGCCAGACCCTCAGGGTTCTATCTGCACAGGAAGACTTGAGAACCGGCCAGAGGGCGATTCTTCCCCCAAGGTCTGGAGCCCTGATGAAAGGGTTTTAGGCAGAGGGTCATGTGGGCTAGGGGAGGCTTTCCTGGTCCCAGAGTCACTACTTCTCGCTGACAGTGACCTCCCCCTCCACCACAGTGGGCTCTGGCCAAGGTCAGCCAGGCAACAGGGAAAGACCAGAGCAGAAGCAAATCAGGAGACCGTGTTGTCATGGGCAGACCATGTCGTGCTGGGCCATGGGCAGAGCACCCAGGTGGACGGGGCCACGTCCTCGGGAAGCAGCCCAGGTGTGGCATGAATGTCTGACCCCACTGTGCTGCCAATGTTCCCAGGACACCCAGCATGGGGGATGGTTGCGGACATCCGCCACCGCGCATGGTTTGAGCCCCTGATGAGCTGTGTCTGAAGCAAGTCATTCCTGAACTTTTTGACCACGTGAGTTAATAAGTGTTCTTTTTATTGTTAAATCAGTCTGGGTAGGGTTTCTGTCACTTGCAATGAAGGGTCCTAACAGAAAACACTGCTTTCCCCAGCCACAGGGGACAGGACCAAGGGGCATCAGACACCTGGACATCTGGAGTGAGGGGAGATGGGGTCAGGGGCCCGGGCATGTGCCCTGGACTCCGCGGAGCCAGGCTTCAGGCCCACACCTGGTGGGCACCCACGGCATGGCAGACTCCAGTCTGGCTCAAGGTGAGCTCCCATGCCTGGCCTGAGAAGGCCCAGCCAGCCAGGCAGGTGAGCGTCAGCGAGGTGCATGGGCAGATCTGGTTTCCAGTCCTCCCAGTGTTCCCTGGGGGGGGGGGGTCACTTGTCTGGGGGGCAGGTGCTGGGGTGCACGGCCTCAGGGGACCTCACTCCAGTCCTATCTTCCCTCTGGTCCCGAAAGGTGCCTGGGGTTGTCTAGCTCAAGGCATTATCTGGGACCACAGCTCTTAGGGCTGAGAAAAAGGCATTTATTTGTTCCTAACAGGCCCGAGTGTTTTGAGTTCGCTAAGTGGACAGAGAATTACCTGAAGTGGAAAAGAAGGATGCCAATGTCCAGCACAAAGGCACTGGGGTCTGGAGAGAAAGGGCCACTCCCACTGTGCCTGCCACCCGTGGGGCAGGGTCCTGGGGGCGGGGTGCAGCGCGGGAACTCTGCTCTCTCGGGGCCCAACCATGGAGTCCGCTCGGATGCAGGAGGGCCCGGGAGGCCCTCCCTCACAGCCGCAGATCCCGGTCAGCTGTGGAAGGCTGACCAGGAGGCGCCCGAGGCGTAGAACTCCACACTGCTGGGCCAGTCGCCGTCCCCATTGCCCTCCTTGTCCTCGTCAGAGTCCTCCTCGTCCCCGCTGGATGCCTCGCAGCCCGCCCCGGCCGAGTGGGCCGGCTGCCCGGGGGCCCCCGCGTGCAGCTCCTCCGCCTCCCGCTTCGGGGCGGCCAGCTGGCGGTAGCAGAGGCTGCAGACGCGCAGGGGCTTGGGCGACAGGCGCGGCAGGAGGAAGCGCTCTCGGGAGCACTCGGCACACACTACGAAGCCGCACTTGCGGCAGTGGTGGCGCCGCGTGAGGGCCGAGAAGCGCGTCTGCGTGCAGCGCATGCAGATGTCCGTGGCCTTGTCGGGGATCCAGGGCGCCGCGTGCTCCGTGCTGGGCTGGCGGCCCGTGGCCAGCAGCTGCCGCCGCACACACTCCTCAATGTGGCTGATCCACTCCTGGCGCTCCGTGCTGGAGGCGGCTGACACCACGAAGGACTTCTTGGCCGTCCGGATCATCCAGCGGTTCTTGGCCTGCGCGGTCTCGGGCAGCGGCTCGAGCGTCACCTCCTCCAGCGGGATGATGTGCTGGCTGCGGTACTTGCGCTTGTGGAGCACGATGCTGCCATACACCAGGATGTCGTTGAAGAGGAAGAAGATGCGTGGCTTGGCCTTCTTGCGGCACTCCTTGGTCAGCATGCCCTCGCCCAGCAGCACGCGGCCTGGCAGGGCCAGCGGCTGCCCTGACGCCCCGAAGCAGCTCTCCACGGCCGCGATGCGCTGGCTGTTGATCTCCGTGTTGGCCAGGTAATCCACCATGTTCTCCGGCAGCCTGGCTGTGGGAGGGGCGGCAGGTGAGGGAGGCGCCGGACCCCAGACCCCATGGCCCTCGCATCCCAGCCAGACAGGCCACCACAGGGCCCAGACGGCCAGCCAACCGCACAAACTCGCTGCCCCAGAAGCCAGAGCCAACTCTTAGACAAGGAACTGCCGAGACATGAAGGGGCGGTCCCCAGTGAGGGGCACGTGGAAGCCAGCCCGGGACGGGGAGGCAGCAGTGAAGATGTGTGGCTGAGCCAGGCCACCACTGTGGCCAGTGGGGGCTCAACTCCCTGGGGACCCTTGGGAGCCAGGGGAGAACGTGCCTCAACGCTGTCCACCCCAAGGGGCAAGGATACTGAGCCCCAACTCCCATCAGGGGCTCCCAGGAGCACCAGAGACCTGGCACTTTGGGCCTGCTCCAGGTGGGACAGTGAGTGCCAGGCACCGGTGTCTGCAACCCTAACCCATCACGGACTCCGCCATCCACCAAGCCAAACCATCACAGACCTGCAGCCCGCTCCCTCGGCCCACGGCTCAGTGGTCACCACTGCCTGCATCACAGGTACCACACGCTGACTGCTTCCTCCATGTCGAGCATGACTATCTTATTTAGTCCCCACACCAACCCAAGGAGGTAGAATCCCCCAGTGACAGGGGGGAAACTGAGGCTCTGTAGGTAGGGGGCCCAGAGCTTGTTTCCCGGGAGACAGTGCCATCCTCCATGGAGTGTGAGGCCCACTCTGTCCTCCTCTGCCAAGCACGAGATGTCAGTGGCCCAGATCTCATCCAGTTCTGTCCACACACACTGCCTTTGACCTCCAGACTCATGGCACTGAAGACCACCCAAATCCTGCTGACTCCCCCGGTCAAGCCTCCAGCTGTGGCTTCTCTCCTGCGCTGTTAAGCACGGACGTCCACCTGCCCACGCGATTTCCTACCTGCTCCTCTAAGAAGGTCCTCAAATTCAACATGCCTAACACCAACCCAGCTTTTCCTTCCAGTTCTTCTTTTCCATAAACAGAACCACCATTCACCCATTTGTTCAAGCCCCAAATCTAGGACTCCTCCTTGAGCCTCCTCTTTCCTGTACCCCCAACGGTCACCTCATGAGCAAGCTCCACCATCTTTATCTCTCACCACTGGCCAGAGTTTGCCCACCTCTCACCACACAGCTACGCGGCTGGATCCACAGCAGGGTGCCATCATGTTTTGCCTGAACTAGGCTGTCCCATGCTGGCTCCTTCCTGTGACTGGGCTCTCGGTCCTCATCTCCCTTCAGAAAGGGTCTCTGACAACCCCATCTCAAGTACAGGGTTGGCAAACTATGGCCTGAGGGTCAAATCTGGCCCACAGCCTGTTTTTGTAAATAAAGTTTTATTGGAACATGGCCACACCCCACTTAAAATTGTCTGTGGCCGCTTTCAGGCTGCAATGGTAGAGATGACTAGAGGTGACAGACACCACGGGTTGTAAAGCCTAAAGTACGTACTACGTGGCCCTTTACAGAGAAAGTTTATTGACCCTTTCTCTAAGATGTTACCCTAGGACTTATCAGGACCTAATATTTTCTTATCTATCTATCATTTGCTTACATGTTTTGTATTTCCATTTCTGGGTTCTAAACTCCATGAGGGCAGGAGCCTTGTCTTGTTCACTACAGTATCCCCAGTGCTTGGAACAGTGCCGAGCACACAGTAGGTGTTTTGCACCTACTGTGAAGTGAATGAAGGAACCCTTCCAAAGCTCCCTGAGGGCCCCCCATGCATAGAGTCAGCTTTACTTCCTAGAAAGAAGCAGGTGAGAGCTGACTTCATGGCCACTGCCAGGTGCACACAGGCACACACAGCATGACCCTGGCCAAGCTGATCACACTCATGGTATTTCTGGGTCACCACACTGCAGTTCTATAAGTCAGACTACTTGTGGGAAGCCAGAGCGGGGCTCAGTGTGGGGGCTGGATGCATTGCACAAGACGGGTGCTCAGTCCCCTGAGTCACATACCGCTTGCCCCCTTCAGACCACAAGGCATCCTGAGAGATGCTGCCCACACCAACTTATGTAAGAACGACTCTTTTTAGGTTGCTAATCTTGGCTGTGCGTTTCAGACCTCGCTGATTACTGGTGACAGCCCTGGGCTGTCCTGCTAGGACCAATCACTGGGTCCCTGCTGTGGACAATCTGAAAAAATTCCAGAGGCCATCCCCCTTCCCCCCACTGGCTGGGCTGAGTGCTGGCTAAGGGCTCCACTGGAGGAGCTCAGACCGCAGCCGAGGGAGACCCCCAGGAGCCATGAGTTCAAGACCTGTGGCAGAGACAACAGAGACGCCTAGCGGTGGGGGAATGGTTCCCACAGCTGGGCCACTCACACGCAGGAAGACCTCCGGCAGCTACTACGACTCACCCAATCCATGCGGGTCAACGTGGAGTGACAACAGACATCAGACACTGAGTGGAAAAAGCAACCTGCCAAATGGTAAGTGACAGATTTGTGTAGATATTACAAAATGGTGCAAAAGTGTTCAAGAACTAGATATTCGAATGAAGATGGAGAAGATGGAACTTTACATGCATGAAGGTGGCTACTATTAAAAAAAAAAACAACAACTTAAAAAACCCAGGCAATAACAAGTGTTGGCAAAGACGTGAGGTTGAAACCCTGGCGCGCTGTTGGGGGAAATGTAAATTGGTGTAGCACTAAGGAAAAGAGTATGGGGGCTCCTCGAGAGATCAAAAATAGAAATACCATCTGACCAAGCACTTCCATTCCTGGGTGTCTCCCCACCAGACGGAAAGCAGGGTCTCAAAGTGGTATTGCACACCCACGTTCATGGCAGCATTATTCACAGTAGCTGGGAGGTGGAAGGAACCCAAATGTCCGTCGACGGCTGAACGGCTGAACAGAATGTGCAACAGAAAATTATTCAGCCATAAAAGGAAGGAAATTCTGACCCCTGCTACCACATGGATGAACCCTGAAGACATTTTTGCTCCATGAAATAAGTTGGTCACAAAACAACAAATACGGTACGGTTCCACTCCCATGCAGCATTGCAAGTAGTCAAATGCATAGAGACAGAAAGTAGAAAGGTGGTTGCCCAGGTTGGGGGGCAGCGGGAGGAAGGAGAGCTGTTATTTGATGGGTACAGAGCTTCACTTTTGCAAGATGAAAAGAATTCTGGAGATGTTTCACAACAATGGAAATATACTTAATACCACTGAACTGTACACTTAAAAAGGGTTAAGACAGGTTAAAAACAAATGATGGACCCAAATCAAAGTCAGGTGAAAGTGGCCTGGAGAAAGGGTACCTGGATATAACCAGCAATGGAGGGGGGGAAATGCATAACGCACCTACTCTGGGGATGCACCTGACACAGGGCTTTGTCCTGATGGAACTTGTTCTCTCCTCTCCTCCACTCAGAAATAGTCTGTGTGATTTGTGAGAGAAGTCTGGGGCCCCACCCTGGGAACCCTGGAAAGCAGGACCTAGGAGGGGCACCCAAGTCCACCCTTCTGTGAGAGCTACAGTTGGGGACACCGCTTATCAGAGAAGGAGGTACCTGGCCAAGATCACGGAGGTGGGGGGTCAGAATGCTGGCCCCTTGTACTGTCCTTTGGCTTCTTCTGACTGGGGCCAGGCTGATTCATCGCCGCCCTTCCTTCCATCCAGCCCCAACCAGGCCCACGGTGCTCTCACGTCTGCTGGATTTCACCTTCCAAATGTGTATCGTAAGTCCTACCATGTGCCAGACACAGTCCTACTGTGCTTGGCACCAGGTGACAGACAGCAAAGAAGTAGGGACCAGGCCCTTTAGTAACAGACTCCCGAGTGGGACAGTCAGACTAGTAAGTAAATCAACAAGGTAATTTCTGATTGTGTGTGCTAAGTGCTGTGAAGCAAAAGTCTGATCTGCCTGACAGAGCTGGGGTGGGGGTGGGGGTCAGGCAAGGCCTGGTGAGGAAGTAACCTTGCACCAACCCTAACACTGTGAAAGAGCCAGTCATGCAAAGGCCGGAGAAAAGAATGTTCTGGGCCTTGGGAACAGCTCAAGAATCTGACCCGTGGAGGCCATAGAGGAAGGAGTGAGGGGTAAGAGGTAAGGTCAAAGGGGCCAGCAGAGGCCAGTCTTGAAGGTCCAGAGGCCAAATGAGGATCTGAGGTTTTCTCCAAGTACACTGAGGAGCGTGCCAGATCCAAGTGTCCTTTCCTTCCAGAGGGGCTGCCCCTCAGCCTTGTCTAACCCTGTGTTTCCTGGAGGCCCTTCTCCAAGAAAAAAAAAAAAAAAAAAGTAATAAGGAAAATAAACCAGAGGTGCTATTAACTAGGAGCTTACAGCTCACCAGCTACAACTGTAAGCACATTATAAGTATTCTCTCACTTAATCCTCACGAAAGCCCCACGGGGGAAAGTACCACCCCCATCATCAAAATTACTGCCCAAGGGCCCAGTCGAGTGATGGGGGAGCCCAGCTCCAAGAAAGCTGTTCTTGACCAAAGACAGAATCAGAAATCCTCAAGTCCAGAGGGCAGGGTCCCTCTCCAAATGCCTGATCCCCTGCCCCACCTCCCCAACCCCATACCAGCCCAGGGATCCCTTGGGCTGATCTGGGCAGGTCCCTTAGCTCAGCTGGGCTGCCTCACCTCCTGTCTTGGCAGCCCTGAGGGCTGACGTGTGCAGGGACACAGGCCTAAGTCAGAGTCATCTCTCGGCCTGCACAGACCCCAGTGGAAATTATGTGCCCAGGAACAGCCCAGTACTAAGTGGAAACTCTGTGCCAAGAATGACCCCCCGCAATGATCCACCCTCCCCACTGGCTTTTCACCCTCTGGGGTGAGATAAGAACTTTGTTCAAATTGTAAACCAACATTTTCCTTTCACTGTGGAGATCAAATTTCAGAGTGCCTCTGAACTTTGGAACCTTCTGGAACCTTTGGAAACTTCCTTCTCCCCCCTGTAAAGGGGGCTGAAGACACCACTGCCTTGCTTAACTCTTCGGTGTTCCGGAAGAGGAAAGGGAAGGAGATTCCCGCTGATTCCAGGTTGGGAAGGAACTGCCATCTCTGTAGGCCGACCTTAGTGACTTCCTCTGTGAAATGGGAGATGAAGCCCTGCCATTTCTTCTGACAACTCCTACCCAAAATCACAAACTCCAACGCCTTGGGGACCAGGCTGTTCCATAGTGAGAGAGGCCAGAGAGGACCAAGGCCACCCAGAAAGCACTGCCACTCTCCCCCCGCCACCTCCCGGGTCCACTGGGGCAGCTGACTCTGCTCACGTGTGCAGACCCCGAAAACTGGGACCAAGGAGTGAGGCCCCCACGGCGGCGTCAGGCCAGGGCTCTAGTGGAGATCCCCGCCGCCTCAGGGGGCAGCACCCGCGGGCGCCTTCGGACCTCCTCTGCTCACAGGTCGCGCATCCCAGGGACCCGGCCTTGACCCCGAACGCCCTTACTTGTGCACACCCCGCTCTGCCTGGAGCCCCTGCAGCCTCCACCTCGCCTCCAGCAGCCCCAGCCAGCAGTAAGCGCCCTCCTCCGCGCCTCTGCTCGGGCTCAGGGTCTGAGGTGGCCCTTGCTGCGCGCCGGTCCCGCCCAAGCCCCGGAGCCACCTCGACAGGGCGGCCGGGGAGACTGGAGGCGGCGGGCAGGCGACCTGCCTTCCCCTCGTGTCCCTGCCCGGCCCGGGGCCCTTACCTCCTCCGCCGGCTCCCTGCGCGCCTGCGCCCCGCCCGGCACCCCTCCGCGAGCCTGCTCTTGGCCGCAGCGGTCCGCTCCGGGTCTGAGCGCCCACTCTCGCAGGACACGCCCCTCGCGGCGGCTCCGCCAATCGGAGCCCCGGCGCGCGGGCGGGGGCGGTGCCTGGGCTCCCGACTCTCGGTGCCTGACAGCCCGGGAAGTGTAGGCGGGCAGAGCCCCCCAGAGTTAGAATGGGCACGCCGTGCGCGCCCGCCGTGGGCAGGACCTGCACAGAGTTACTTTTCGGGACCTCCCAGGGCTGGCTCTCCAGTCTGACTGCCCCAGGCCCCTGCCCATTTCCCCCTGCCGCTCCCACCTCGCTGGAGACAGTCCTCGCAGGACTCCCAAGCGAGGCCTTGGAGTTACTGTGCCTTGTGCCGCCTCTGGCGGGCCTCCCTGCTGCTCGCTGACACAGTCATCTCCTCTCAGCACCCGAGAAACCAATCATCATCATATTAACAATCAGCAGCATTTAATCCTTTTTATATTTTAAAACTTTGTATAGTGGAAACTTTCATAGAAGGAGAGTCCAGTTTAGTGGACTCTAATGCGCTCATCACGCACTCCAACATCCAGCAGGTTATGCTGCCTCCCCACCCAGACCCTCCCCTGCCTCCTGGGACCCTGGAATGAAATTCCAGGCCTCACCCCTCCAGGAGGCCTGTCCCAGCCTCCCTCTGGTCCCCTCCCCGCACTTCATTTCACACTGGCTTCTTCCTGTTCCTCAAAACCCCAAGGTTGTTCCCACCTATGGGCCTTTGCATGCCCCTACCTCCAGATCTTCCCATGGCTGCATTGTTGGCATTCAAGTCTCACCTCAAACTGCCATGTCCTCAGAGGTTTCCCTTGACCACCCAAAGCAGCTCACCGCCTCCACTCCTCCCCCCCGACCCTCAGCTACCTCACCCAGTTTTATTATTTTGTAAATTATTTCTCCAACCCGAAGTCATCTTATTCAGTCACTCATTTATGTGTTCATGGCTAGTCTCCCTCACCTAGGCAGTGAACCCCATGGACTGGACTATATTGATCTTGTTCCTCTCTTTATCTCCAGTTCTGAGAACCGATATGAGCACTTGGTAGAAACGTGGTCACTGTCCCACAGTGACAGTTTGTCGTGCCAAATAGGGCAGACGCTGGGCACTTTGGCGAGGAGCCAGCTCAGGCCAGTGCAGTGTCTGCCTGCCAGGACCAAGGCCAGAGACAGCAGCAGGCACAAGAGCTGATCCGGACTGGGGGCTGGAGCGAGGAGGCCTGAGCGGAGCAGTGGTGACCTGCCCTCCGGGGCGGTGTGGGCAGAGCCTGTGAGGTAGGGATGGGCCTCTCCTAGCCCAGGTGGAGTGAGGCCAGGACATGGGCTAAGAAGGGAAGGGGATGAGGCAAGGGAGGAGAAGGGAGGGAGAGGCCCAAAGAAGAGGGGTGGTAGGCAAGTGAGAGGACCACCACAAATGGCCTTGGCAAGCCCGCCTCCCCACCACCGCCACGAGCCCCCCTCCACCACCTTCGCTGCTGTTACCTCCGCAGTAGGACAGACAGTGCTTACTGAGCACCCCACAGAAGCCATGGGCTCATAAAAGTAAACATGTATACAATGCATGGCAAACCTTCATACTGAGCTCTTTCATATAAAAATCAGGATTTTCACCTTCTCATAAATCAGAGGATTTGAAAACACGGCCCCCATCTCCTCGTGGAACTGTTCCCTTCAGATTGGGCACATGACCCCATTCACGACAGTCCCACCTCACTCTGTGATTTCCTTCTTGCCCCGCTTTACCCGTTTATGTGCTTCCAGTTGACTAAGCATCTGCACTGAGGAGTCCTGATGGTACAGCAGGGCCTCTACACCATCAGAGGAGAAGGACACAAGGCCCAACCACCCCAGAGGCTGACGTAGAATCAGGCAGGTCAGTTGGGACCCCGGTAAATGCCATCCCAAGTGTACACACTGCTTGTTGCTGGGGGCTGGTGGGTGCTGGAGGGGGACACTGAGCGGAGCCTTCAAGGCCATGTTCCATGACTGCTTCAGGACCAGGTCCCCCACCTCCCTAGCAAGAGGGGCTTCGTGGGGAACGTAGGCCCTGCCTGGGGTGAGGGCACCACGGAAGGGAGCCAGAGAGCCTTTGAAGGCAGGATTATCCAGTTTGAGACAGCACCCTGGCACCTAACACTGCTCCTGGCATGCAGCAGGTGTCCAGAAAAGGGAGGCCTTTTCATGGTTCTGGGAAACCAGAGGGAGGAGGCACACCCGTTGGTCCTGGAGGTGGGAGACCCCAACTAGCTTTGTCTCACTGCTGTTCCAGGACCCACTGGGGCCTCAGTCTCCTCCTCTGTCCTTGACTCCAGCGCTGACATTCTGGGCCTCAGGGTGGAGACAGCGGAGACTCTCCTCATCTAGCCGTCCGCCCCTTCCCAACAGGGACCAGCTGTGGGCGGAGAAGACCTGGGCGGAGGGCCTGCTCCTCCAAATAAGAGGAAAAACTCGTGACTCAGGGAAAGGCAGAAGTTGACTCAGCCAAGCCACAAGCTGTGGAAAAAATGAGCTCTCCCTGAGGCTTTTTTTTTTTTTTTTTTCTCCTGGGGTAAGAAGCCCTTTCTGAGGGAAAGCTGGCTTCCAGACTTGGGGAACCAGGCTTTCAGGAAACTGCCAAGGCTCATGATTTTCAAGTTAGGAGTTCCGGCAAACACCTGGGTGGAAAATGCCAGAAATTTATATTGGATCTTTTTAAGTTTTGTCTAAGTGCCAAGCGCTGTGTGCTAAGTACTCCATATTATCTTATGTCTCCTCAGCCTACACCTGTCATTCCCCGCCTTGGGCTTATGACAGTGAGGCAGACACAAAGCATTTAGCGTGAAGGATCCCCACCAGCACAAATGTTGCAGCAAGAGGGATGAAAACAAACGGGGCAAAGTAGTAACAGGGGATGACCTAGGTCAGAGGGGGGCAGACTTTCTGAAAAGGGTCAAATAGTCAACAGTTTGGTCTCTGTGAGCCCCTCCGGGCTCATGGCATGGCAACTCAGCAGCTCCGCTGTTGCCCCGAGCACAGCCCTCGCCAGGGTGCCAGCCCGTGGGCAGCTTTGCTTGGCGACGCTGACGGCTGACTGTCCAATCAGGTTCGTGTGTTAGGAAACTTTATTCTCCTTTTCATTTTTTTTTTCAGCCACTTAAAAATATAAAGGCCATTGTTAGCTCACGGGTCATGCAAAAACAGGCCAGAGGCTGGAGCTTGCCGACCCCTCACCTACAGGTGGTCGTCATTGCTTTCTTACAACTCTTCCGCTCAGTTGAAAATATTCAAAACAGAAAGTTGGGC